AGGGAAGGGGGACCAGAGGGACCCTGCCAGCTCCGGCCCCAGGGAAGGAGCAGGGAGGGCGCGGGGGTATGCAGGGAAGGCGGGGGGGTCCCGCGGGGGCGGTTGCTGCCAGGATATTTCAGGGCAGCTAAACTTCCCAAGCTGAAAAATTATTTAGACGGCTCTCATCTTCCTCCCATCTCCGCAGTTTTGCAGCGCTCGTTGGATGCCACGGGGTATCTTCATTAGCAGCGGGCTGGCTGTGGAAGGACAAGTCTCCAAATAACCTCAGCAGAGCACCGGGGGTGATAAATGTTGTGCAGAGCATGTGGGTTAACGCGCTCCTACCTTCACCGTGTCCCAGGTGGACTGTAGCCCTTTGCCAGAGATCATGTTCCTTGCTGATGGGTTTTTCCTCCTCACATTCAATCACATCTCTCAGCAGCTTCTGATTAACACCAGGCCAGACCCCGAAAAACAGAGCGAGGGTTGACAGGTTGGAGTCACAGCAGGAACTTGTATCTCACTTGCACTGCTGTGGCAACCGCTTCCCCCCCAAAAAAAACATGCAGTAGAAGCTGTGCTCAGCAGGAGAAGCTCCTTTGGGCTCAACCCTTTAGTCGTGCTCTGCGCCGAGGAGCAAAGCCCCAGCTTGTGAGTTACCTGCTGGCAATAGATATTCCGGGAATCAATGTCCTGGAGGTCTGTGCTCAGAAATGCTTGAAACATCCAGGTGGTAACGGGTCTAACAGAGAAAGCGGCACCTCCATCCCCAGCACCAGCTGCGCTGGAGATGCCCCGTGTCCGGTCAGTGCTGTGATGTGGACACAGCGCACAGGAGCTGGCACGAGGAGGGGACGGGCAAGGGGGGTGCAGGGCTGCAGGGCTGATTCATCCCAGCTCAAAACATTCACCGGGTCATGGCCGTGGAAAGTGGATCAGGGCCACGACTGATGCCTTCCCCTTTCGGTCCCAGCCAGCCAGCACTGCGCCTGTCCCTTGCTCGGACTGACCTGCAGGAGCAGCAATACCCAGAGCAGCACTGAACACGCATGGTGAACTGCATAAATCTGTCTTTTAAAAATACCCCATCCAGAAAAAAAAAAGAAGTGGAAATGTAATCCTGTAAAGAGGCCCCTCAGACTGCAGGGAGGCAGCCTGGGATCGGGAGAACTGAAGAAGGGAGGGAACTTCTATGAGACTATAAAATAATCCCCTCCCTGTGACGAACCCTTGATAAGCAAAATGTGCAGAAGTCCTGCCAAAAATAATGAACTCCTCCATTTCCTTTTTTTCTACAAAGAGATTTTATTTTTTCTCTCATTGCACAAGACCACAACAGATTTCACCTTCATTTATTGGACTTTTATTTTCTTTTATGTTGCTTCTTGCCTTTTTCCAACAGCATTTTCAGCTGATGCCCCGTATCTCCATGCAGGATGTGTTTGAGGGGCTGGCAGGGACACATATTTCATAGTTAGGGCAATCCCATAACTAGAAAAACAAAAAATAATTTTGTCAGCTCTGAGCGAAGTGCTCCTCCGAGCAAGTTGCTGAAGTGAAATAAACTTTATACGCTGTACTTGATCCAGCCCTGGAAACTCTGCTCCTACCCAGCCCCTGGCTTGCTGTTACCCCACCACCACATTGCAGAAACACGGATAATTGCTGAAGTCCATTAATTCTTGTAATTATGCCTGTCAGTCTCTTGTTCGAGTCATTCTTGACAGATAAATGCATGTATTGATTTGATGATATGCAGGCAGCCTCAGACTTGAACTATTCTGCTGTAAGGAAGAAATCTGAGACCTGCAAGGACCCCCGGAGCTTCCCAGAGGTTTTCTGTACGCGGGTTCAGTTCTGCTCAAGGTAACGTGTTTGCAGAACCGCACTGGGCAGCGTTCAGCCCAACGGGCTGATCCTGCCTTCCCTGAGAGCACGGCAGCCATTTAATAACTTCGCTGGAGTTTGGCTAATGACTCTCAGGGGCATATGTGTACCAGACCCAGCGATCTATGATTTTTACAGAGTTAAACCATTTTTGTTGCCACATTTCTGTTCAGCACAAGGACTGCTTTACACAACGATCTCCAAAAAGCCACTGAAATTACCCTTAGAGTTACAACCCACAGAGCAATAAAGCAGAAGAGAAGCTGTCCCATGAAGAGATCAGTCCTTCTGGGAGACTGGCAGCTCATGTTTGTTTTGTTCAAATTATAGCTCAGATATCATCAGTGACGCGATGTAAGTAGGACGTCTGGGCCGGTGAACTGGTTTCCCAGAGGAACGGGTTCAGAGCACAGCTTGGGTTTGCTCCGGTCAGGGGCTGGATTTGAAATCGCACACAAATCTGAAAGAGCAACGGTGTAAGCATTTCTGTTCACTTTTAGTCCATCCAAAATAGTAACGACTGGTTCCCTTATTGCCTGTCATGCAAAACAATTCCGATAACAGACCATCGCAACTCTTTTGCTTCCTGATCCTTAAGCATCTGTACATGCTGAATCATTCTCACAGCACAGATCGCGGCTCTCAGCTTGCAGACCCCCCCGGTCCTCCCTGTGCATCAGCCTCCCACTACACCCAGCTACTCTCTACACTTGATTTGTAAAATTTCGTAAGAAATAAGTTTGTGCAAGTCTAGCCGTGAGTATAAATCTCCATCTCGGAAAAAAAAAAAATTGCCACTACACAAAGGTTCCTCTCTTGCACGTGTAACAGAGACGGTGCTGTGCAGGAAAGTAGGAAGTTCAACGAGCTCAAAGAAAAAGGGAACTGTGCTGGGGACACAGCTGGCTGCAATGCAGGAACCAAAAGCACGAAAAATTGAGAAATGCACATCAGATTCTTCCCCCTCACAATCTTCTGCGGTGGTATTGCCTCTACGGCAATAGATATTTTGAAGGTGGCTTAATTCATGCCCTTTTCATGAGACTGAACAACATCTTCTCTGTAGTGAAATCCTTTTAACCGAGGTCTGATCAGTAAGTAATGCCTATTTATAGTGCTGGCTTTGGAAACACAGCTTCACTCTTCAGTTCACCATAGGAAAACTCATTCCAGGCATTACTGAAGTCTTGCTTAAGTCCCATTTTGGGGATTTAAGTGGGCTGGGCGTTTTGTGTAGGTCATTCCCAAGGTCAGATGCCCCCTGCACGTGTGAAAAAGGCAGCACGCACCCAGGCAGCCTTGCATGCAGCAATGCGCTGCAGAGCCCCTCGGAGGGGACAGGGACAACTCGGGCGTTCAGAACAGAGCATAAGGACAAGGCTTTACACTTTTGAAAGGAGGCTGTGAAGTCGTGGATAGGTTTAGCAAGTCCAGCAT